ACGCGTACAGAGAGTAATATTATTTAATCATAATTTCCTGCGCGTAAATTTTACGTATGCCCCCGTTTTTAAGTAAGTAAATTATATAATTACGCTAAAGAGATATTGTACATAAAATGACAAATTTTATCATATTATTATTACCATCATCATCATTATCATCATCACCATCATCATTAATTATATTATTTAAGGATCTAATCGAGGATGAATGTTCGAAGCAAAATCAAAGTCGCGTTGACGAGCCAGCCCGGAGTACGAGAGACCTGGGCCCTCTGACTTCCAAGTGTCTTATATCTCTCTCTCTCTTTCTCTTTCTATCTCTATCTCTATTCCCCTCCTATCATAACCGTCTCATGATAGACAGGCAGACCAGGAATCTGATACGATTGTGTGATGTTGAGAGAATGCGAAATTATCCGTCGATATACTTCGACATGCTGATTGTCTCTTTCGTATTTTTTATTTCGGTCGGCTCTCATAAAAATTGTATAATATGCGTGTGATTAATGCGATTTTAACATTCGTTGTTATTGTAAGAGTGATTGCGGAGCGATACGCAGGGGAGGGAAGTCGACGGCCCTTTATCCCCCGGTCGACTGAACGCGCCCGACTTCCCGTTCCGTCAAGATGCGTGAAACGTCAAGATCTCTGATTTGCCTTGATCTTTCACCTCATTACGAGCTCTATTGATAATATCAATTATTGAATAAATACGAATGCGATAAAAAAACTGAGTGTTCCTTTTACCTAGCCGCTGTACGTGTTATTTTGTATCAGCGATACAAATTACGTCGCATAACAAGAATTTTCTCTCAACTCTTTTTATTATTTCTGGATACATCAGTCAAGGTTTAATCAGTGGAGTTAAAATACTAAGTAAACAATCGTTACTACAAGATATTGCATTAGTCACAAGAGATTTGCAAAATGGAGCTCTTACACACATTTACTTATATTTATATATAAGGTACACTAAAGGAATCAGGGAAGAAAGAGAGGGGAAAGCAATAAGCATATCCCGAGTATAACAGTAGGTTTGATAGCGAAATTGTTGTGCATTGTTACGTACACGAAGCTGTGGTACAGAAAATGACGTAAAAGGCAGATGCGTAATATATGAGCGGTTGAATCAGCGAAATGTTCGATTATCATCGTATTATTCGGCGGAATATACTTTTAATCGGGGATGCGCAAGCAATGTTGAACATCCCGTCGATTAAGATGCTTATATTATGATATTTGAAGCCCCGCTTATATTATGCTCTTGCATGCTCCTGCATGCTTCTACATACTCCTGCACGCTCCTGCATGCTTCTACATATTCCTGCATGCTCCTGCATGCTCCTTTATATATCTTTGCACATAACATGTCCATTCTACAAAAGTACGTACAACTTAATTCTATTAATAAGTTAAGGAGATCACAAAAACAGTCTTATATTCTAGAGAGCTGTTGCAGTAAGTTGGAGGGCAAAATGGCTTCCAGTTTGTCCAGAACGTAGTAGAATGGATGGGAGAACCAGGCGAGCATCGAGCGAGCGACTACGCCCATTGTGTCTGGATACTGATGAGTGAGCAGGGCCAACAGCGCCGTGAAGGAGCACAGGCCGGCGGTAAAGAGAATGAAGAAAGGAAGCTCTTTCTTCGGATACACACTGACGTCGTGGAACGAAGGCAGTAGTTCTCGGTCAGCGCATTCCGTGCACGTTGGATACGGGTAGAACAGGTGGCCACGTTCCAACGGATAAGGCAGCATCCTGAAGGTGCCTTCCCATGTACAATGGAGCAGATTTAGAGCTCCCTCTATCTGTTTCCAATGCGCCAGATGAAAGAACGCGTATGCAATCGCTTCGGAATCGCCGCGCTTCAGTACATGCTCAGGCGGCAAGATGAGCGGCTTCATTTCCAGAAGATACTTGGGTACATGTGGATTGAACTCCACCGCCCGATGGATCGCATCCACCGCTGACATCTCGGCAGTAGTCAGACCTCGTTTGCTGGCAACGTCGGGCGAAAATTTGTCCGCCACCAGTCTCGCCTTCAGCAACGCCGCTGTGTAGCAGATAGTCGCTGATTTCGGTAAACTGATGTCGTCGTATTTGGCCAGCACCGCTTGTACGTCCGCATACGCCTGCATTTCCAGCAGGGTCTCTATCAGGTTCTCGTGGATGTTCAATACATTCATGATTGGAGGTATCTCTTTTGTGAGGTCGCGAAACATCTTCACCGCCTCCTTCAGTTTTCCAAGCTTCCGCGCGCACATTGCCAATCGTCTCTTGATATAAATCAACACGTTTGTGTCTCGTCTGTGTATCGCCTCAGCTACAGAACCTTGGTGCTGAGTATTTTGTGACTTTCTGTAATTGTTCTCAGCGACTTTCAGTGCTTGTTTCAGAATCTTTTCAGCTTCTACGATAGTAATGGCTTCCTCCTCCGCGAGAAGGATATAGGCCGGTGCACAGTCAGGATTACGATCAAGAGCACTGTGTGCAGCTTTTATCCTGACTACTGGATTACGTTCTCTCCAAGCTGTCTGCATAATTTCATATTCTACTTTGCCTAGAGAGGAAAGATCAATTTATTTTAGAGGAATTATTTGTTTTATTTTATCAATCATGTCAATTGTGTTTTATTTTGCCAATCATGTTGATATCATATGTATTTGATATCACTTGAAACATAATCTAATTTAATTCTTGGTGTAATAATCATGTTTCATAAAACATATAGCATATAGCATACATAAAGCATATAGATACATTGTAACTGCAACTAAATTACAAAATCCTTATCAGAATATCAGTGACAGAATTGTCATGTCTCACCTGTGTCACCTTCACAGGTAAAGAATGTCTGATGATCCTGAGCTGACAGATTCATGTCATAATATGTCAAGGGTTCCTTGTTAGTGGCCCAGTAAAATCTTTGATACTCAGCACCTCTGAACAGATTGATTGGATTGCGCCATACTTTGCACTCTGGTATGTTCTGCTGATTCGAAGAGCCATTTAAGCTGGAGACGTTGTCGTTAGAGTTGTCACCGCCGCCGATCCACGGTGAGATATGGGTCAAGGATACCTGCTCGATAAACGAAGTACCGTATTTCCTAAAGTACCACCATTCGAAGATGAGAATCAGGCCAGAAATGAGGGACGAGGTGCCGGTGAGAGCGACGTAGAACTTTGGGGTTAAGGTGTTTAGCAACATCGTCGAGTCCCATATGCTGGTGAATAGTAGTGCCATTTATGCTTTAAAGAGTCACAGTTCCAACTGTTTTCTCCGTTGCGTCGTTCGCACGAATTCGTGCAAATCTCTTCTTACTCTCTTACTCACAACGAAGGAACACCACCGTAGAGGCAATGGTTTATGTGATGCGCAACATCGAGTCTCAATGACGAGTGATAACAACAAAGTATCGTACAATCCTTTCACGCACGCCTTAGTCACCGTCAGCTGTTTCAGATCAATCTATATTCGTGAATTCCAAGGAAAATCGTGGATTCGTTGTAAAACGCGAGCGTCCAATTCAGCACGCGCGCATTGCCATGCATTCCCGGCGTAATAAATATTTTTGACGCGTTCATGGCTCCTGCCGCGGCGACGCTACGACATTAAAATCGATAGAGGAGAGGTTTATAATTGATCCCGTGGAGCTACATTGATAAGTGAACGACATTGTTGGGGCTTACCGTTGGTACCGTCGGTACTGAGTCGTCTCGACTTTATGTCATTAGGTCGACGATAGATGGCAGTATGGTGATGTATCGAGCCACCGACGACAAACTGCGAAAGATCAACGGTCTTGCGGAAATTTCCATGTGTTTACTTTGCAGATATTTTCAATAGATTATCTTATATTAATTTTATACGACTTATTATTATCCAGATGTTTCGAAAATGTGTGTAGACACCCACACTGTAGAAATGATGTACTTTTGTGTAAAACTGAAGAATCACTGTAGAATCTTGTCCACTTGTGTAAAACTTTTGCACGCTGTAAATTCTTAAATAATTATTCGTATAGTTATATACGAATAATGGATACATATAGTGATTACTCATTTCTTAACATCTCGTTTTCTCAAACATTTTAGATATTACAACCATCTCTAGCATATCGCACCTCGAGATTCAAAAGTTTCGATAAGTCATAATTCTAGGGGGCGTGTGTTGCCTTGAGTATTGATACTTCGAGAATCGCAACCGCGGCGTAACCCGCGGCGATCTTCAGTTCGTTATAGAATGCGCGATGTGATTAGTGTTCGATGAGCCGTCCCGTCCTTCTCGTGATTTCGGCTCGTCCGAGGTGAGTCTCGCGCCTGAATCATCGCCGAGAGTGTCGAAAGTAAATTCCGCGCGCGTGTCGTGATGAAGCATCGTTAAATAACCGCCGTGAGTGGGTGTCTCGGGAAATGGTCATTTAGGAATGCTAACCAAAATGTCGCACGTCCGTTACGTTTCGGCGACACTAAATTCGAGTTGCCTCGCTTGACGTTCTCGAGCCGCCGTAGGAGTCTCCAGGGCGAATTATTGTCACCGAGTGCGACGACAAAAGTAAGTTTCGTATACGATGATTGCGGCGAGATATCGTCAGTCGTGCCGAAAGTGAGTAATCGGCGGACCGAGTGTCGAGTGAAGTAGCGCACAGATTGAGATAGGTCGAGTATCTTAACCAATGCGCGTGAGCTCCGCCAGTTTACGGGATGGATCGCGACGTGCCAGATGTACTCCAACAACCGTCACGTATCTCTCGCGACCTCGGCACATTGAAGGTGACTCTCGCACCTGAATCGCGTCACTGGGGGTGTCGAAAGTAAGCTCCGTGTGTGTGTCGTGTTGAAGCATCGTTGAATAATTGCCGTGAGTAGACACTTCTGGAAACAGTCGGTTGAAAGAATGCGACCGAAATGTCGCGCGTCCGTTACGTTGTGGCGACGCCAAGTTCGAATCGTCTTACTTCGCGTCCTCGACTCACCGAAAGAGTCTCTCAGGTGAATCACCGGGAGTACTAGAACTAAATTTCGTGTCCTTATTGTGGGAAAATATCAAGAAATAGTCGCCGAAAATGGATATTCGGCGGGACGACATATATGGCGATATAAGCCGTTAAGAGTGTCGAGTGAAGTGGCGCGCGTATCACAGAACACTTTATCTATCGCAATCATAGCAAGTTCAGTCTATTATGGGGCGAATCGCGGTGCGCCGTACGTATTCGATAATTGTCCTGCATTTCTTACGTTTGTCTTAGTTCACCGAAAATGACTCTCGCGTGTGGATCATCGCACGGGAGTGTCGAAAGTAATCTTCGCGCGCGTGAATCGTGACGAAACATCGGCCGAATATTTCCTGGCTATTCGGAATTAATGCCGGTTCGGAGTTTACCGGATTTTATGTTTTCGATCGACTGAAGAAGTCTCGCGCGCATGAACGATCGTCACCGGCCGTGCCTGGAAAAAGTATCGCACGTTTCTCGTGACCAAAAGTCGTTAAACAAGTGAATATCTCGCGGGACGGTCAGTTCGGAGTGCCGAATAAGAAATCGCGCGTTCGTTGCATGGTCGTTCGAACTTCGCATCTTCAAGGTCGCTGCGCTGCACGTCGACAGGTTGTCAAAGCAGACTTGTACGCAAGCTGTAGACCAGGGACATCGAAAGTAAGTTTTCTGCATTTTTCGCAGTAAAATTGAATTATTTAATATTTGCTTATTGTAAATATTCTATTTGCCCGAGTAAATTAATACATTGTTGCTTGGTTAAAATTAAGAATATATATTAAATGCAGATAGAATATTGGAATATAGTTGAATATTAAATAATTCTTATTTTAACAATATTAAGGAAACGGCAATAAATAAACGTTTGTAGTAATAAGATGGAAGAATATGCGTAGCAAGATAGAATAATATGCGTAGTGTTATATCTGGAGATTCTGCATTAGTTTTTCAAGTTCGACAGAATCTGCGAGGTTAATGTAGAACGAAAATTTTAACTTGGATGAAGCTAAAGTTGGAGCAGAGTAAAGCTACAGAAGAGAGTTCTTTCTCTTATACTATAATTGCATACAATATCCAAGATAATTAAAGAACTTGAATAAGTATTCTTATTTTTTCTGCTGTAATGTTTACAATAAGGACATAAAATATTGACAAAATATATTTTGAACTAAAGTGAAATTGACGGAAAAATTTACAACGGTATTGATCATAATAATTAGAGTATAACATGAAAAAATTAAGTAAATGAGACAACCATATTATTTCAGAGTAACGTTATTAAATAAGGAGTCCACGTAACACATATAAAGTGATAATAAAACAAAACTCCGTGAATATTTTAACATTACGGGACGTTTTCCGTTAATTCTCATCCTAGAAGATATCCTCTTCTGTACTTTTACGTCGTTCGCGCATAGAAATATCGAAACTTGCTTACGACGAGCGCGTGTTATGTAACAGTGAAGAAGCAGATAACCGGAATAATAGAAGCGCACGGAGCGCATGGTGGAACGGATAATGGGTCACTACGGACACGCGGATATCTTGCATGGCACCTTGAACGTCTCCGCGTGCGCTCGAAGGTCTTTCCTTCTGTCTTTCTTTCTTCCACCGTGTCGCACTTCCCTCGTCCCAATAACCCACTTATCTCGGAAAGGTGTCTGGGAGACGACCGTTTCGCCGTGTACAGGGTGTTCCGTGCGCAGCTCGTGGTTTTAATTTCAGTAGAGCGGGTTCTGTGTAGAGCAAATTTGGCGAAATACTCCTCGAAGCAGCGATACTTGTCGAGTCATGCGCGATTATAAGGTGTGATTAAGCTAATTATCGCTTCTATGCGTCACGTGAACAATAAATAAGACCATATCGCGCTTAGTTTGCATTTGATGGAATTTAAACTAGATGTTTACAAGAATTCGCGCAATGTCCTTTGCATCTTTATGAAGAAAAAAATATTGTAAAGCGATTAGAATATCATGAAAATTAAGATCGCGAGTTGGTGGACACCATGTATAGCACTTTACCTTGTGACAATGGACAAACAGGGGGTTTCTAAATAGAATATAGCGGCTCGATTTCTTTAGCTCATCGCGTCACCGGGAATTTCTCGTGGGAGAACGATAACGCTGACGCTCGCATCTGGCGTTACGCGCGCTCACTATTACTCGGGATTATTCTGAATTTATGAAAATTTTCAGAGCCGACGGGCAGGCGCGACGGGAATATACGCGATCAATCGCTTCGAATCTCGCGCAGGCTGCTCTTTTTACGGTAAATTGGGCATCGGGGTTTCTCACTTCGAATATTTACCGTAATGCTTAAATATAGGCAATTGATTCATTCCCTAAATATCCCGTATCCCGAGAGAGCGCTACTTTTGAAGTATTCTATAATAGAACTTCGTTCAGCCATGCGATAGGATAGGAAAGGTGGTTCGGATAAGTCGGTGGGGCGAATATTCTGAAACGGGGCGCGCGCGCGCGCAAGCGATCGCAACTGGTAATAAATGCGAGAACGCGATAAAATAATTTCTGAGAGAATTATTTATAACTGAAGGTAAATGAACTCAAAACTCTTTATCTCCCACTCAACGTCACAAAGAACTATCCTCTTGTTACTTAGCACTTCTGAAACTTCTCGTCTGCAGCTTTAGTTGACGATGCAGAATAAAGTATCGACATCCTTCCCGAATAACTTGTTCGTGTCGAGGGACGTCATTTTACGCGACATCATATTTTAGATATGATGGAGGTGCATTTAAATACCTGTATCATTTTTGAATTCCGATAGTTTTTCTACTTCCGTTCGCTTCACCCATGAGTGACATCTCCCGCTGCATTATCAATGAGGAAACGATTTCCTCAGACGATCTCATCTGTCGTTAATATTTCCACGCATCGTCAAAGGAAAGTAAGGAAAGTCTGAATTTACCGTGCTGCCATCATTCGCTTCGTTTATTCCCGAGAACGAGACACAATACTCGGGAAGATATGTCGAGATGAAACAGGGAAAGAAATCGCGCAATTTATTCAGAGGAAGGACACGTTGGGGAACAGAACGTGCATCGGAGGGCAGGCGCGAAGATGCCTTCAGATGTCGCGATCCTCTATGCAATAACAAAGATATAAAATCGCCATATTCTAATTGAACAAATCGAAGACACGTGGAGTAAACAACAAGTCACCAAGGCTAATATCCCCGGTTGCAACACTTGGGGTCGGTTTATCCAACCTCTTGCTAAGCTAACTAACAGTTAAATCTTATGTCTGTTTCTATTTAATTTAAAGGAGAAACAAAGACAGACGTATGAGTTAACTGTTAGTTAGCTTAGTAAGAGGTTGGAAAAACCGGCCCTTGATCGTGAATGGCGACGAATGTAAAGATATGGGGAGATAGTTTTCTAGGGGAATATTTACGAGCGCGCGCGAAGGATGAGAGATAAAAATTTCTTTGCGCAAATTCGTCGCCATCCTCCTCCTTCTCCTCTTCCTTCCTCTTCTTTTGCGTCCACGTGCGTTCTCGTATCTGTCCTCCTCCCGTACGCGGTGCAGTCGATCGGTCGGTCGGTCACTGAACCGCCGCCTCGTAACGCCGCCGTCCCGTCCCATTCCGTCCCATCCCGCCGTCGCCGCCGATCGAGCCGGTACC